CTTTTTTCATATCCGCTAATAAAAGCTTGTCTTATTTTTTTTTTATAGATACTTGTTTTTAAAATTATTTTATTTTATTTTTTATCTACATATTTATTTGGTTTTTAGTTAAGGCTCTAGTGTTCTGTGTTAGTGCCAAGCTCAATTTAGTTGAATTCGTTGTAATAAGTATGTTGATATACACGAAATTCTTAAATTATTTCATTTTTATTGTTAATTAGTTTTGAACATATAAAGGATTTACTTTAATAAAATCATGTCGTATGCGACATTTGTCAACAATTTTGCAGCCACGTTGTATGATATACGACAAAATGTGATACAAATGTTTACCAATTAGTTCGTTCTTACAGGGAAGGATGCGTTTTTTTAATTTTTATTCCTGCCCCCGTTAAAAGTAACTTCTCATAAAAAATGGATGCAGTAAATTTTCACACTATGTCACCGAAATGCTAAATCTGAAGCCAAATACACAATTCTGGAGTAGAACTGCGTTCAGCTAAAGATTTGCATGCAGACCTTTAATACATACATACGTATGTATGTATGTACATACATATATGCACTTATTTCACTGGCCATCTTTTTTGATTAGCATTTAGGGCCATTTGCTTCATGTCTATCTAATTAACCCTAACTAAGGCAGGGAGTCGATCACGATGTTTAACTGGTGGAGTGAGAATTACCCGGATATGGTGCAAACGGCACTTAGAATTTTATTTTCACTTAAAAATTACCTAATGCCGAATTTCCACTAGGCATTGAAATGACAAAAAATTTACGCCATTTAAAAAAATGCCATGTGGGAATGAACTTAATGACAATTGTTTTAATGTAATGACACGATTATTTTGTAATGCCTGACTTTGTCATATGTCATTTTTGCCATTTAATGCCTAGTGGAAATCCAGTATAAGCCCAGAAAGTTGGGTGAAGACAACACGAATGAAAATGTTTTATCTAACAATATGAACTTAGAGTGTATTCACAATACATCTCATTATATGTATGTAACTTTAGTAAATAATTAAAATTAAATAATTAAAAACCTACCTACCTAAAACTTAAACACACTCACACACACATTTATTACTATTATTATTACTATTAAAATTTATTGCAAAATAATAACACAATTTTATTACTCCTCGTATTTATTTACGATCAATGTATTTGAATTATTATAAATATGTTACACTATGTTACAAACTACTTACATATACATATAACTGAAAACGAATAACAAAGCTTAAAGAATTTGTAAACTAGATGAGAATGTAGTAATTAAAGTGAGTAAAAAGAAGATTACATAATTGTCAAATTAGCCCAATCCTCCTTATAACAAAATACAAAAGTTTAACATAGAGAAAATGGAAGCGCTGAACGCCGTAGAAGTCTTAAGATGTGTTTGTTTTGCAGTCGCAGTCGGTGCTGGTTAGTTGCGAGCCAGCCTCCGGTGTATCGTTGAATTGTGCTGTTTAAGGTAAATTGCACTCAGGTAAGGCACAATGCACGCCCGCTGGAGCGAAAACGGTGAGCAACAGCAGCACCGAACCGCACGGTTGCACTCGGCCGGCTGTATGCGATATGGTCAGTCGTAGCATACCTGGTAAAGTTGTTTGAAGTTTTTTCCTAAGCTCGAAATGATTTAATAGTACTACGGAAAAAGCAAAAACATACATACATACATACATATGAAGAGTTGGTGGACTGCTTCAGTTGGAATGTAAATTGTTTGCTCGTTAATTTAGTTGAAATCCATAGAAAATTGTGTTCTGTTTTGTTTCATCCGGTTGTATGCTCTTGTAAGAGAAATTAGACAATCGGGTAGCAATCGATCGATGAACGTAAATTTTATTTACTTAGCCTCATTTCCAATGAAGAAACTTTAATTCCTTAAATTAGTCAAATTTAATTTGGACCTGAGCGATCTGCACTAATGATCGCATTAATACACATATACCTACCTACATACAAACTTACCTATAAATGACAAACAATTAAACATGAATCGTGAAGACCGATTCTGAGACTACAGTCGTTGGATCAATGCACGATTGGGCGCCAATTGAATTTGGTTGCAACGTTCATACGCGCAGCACTCTGGCTACCGCTCACCAAAGACACACTGCTGATTTACTGAAGCGTGCTGACATCTGCAAAACGTTCACGTTCAGAACTGGATCTGAAACTTAAAACGCTAGAAGCCAATTTTATATAGTAGACCATTTGATCAAAATCTATGTATGCTTTAAGATCTTTTGCTTTCCTAAATCCAGATTTATGTCGATCTTTTAGATATCCAAAACGACAACTTTGTCTTTTTTTTGTCTACTAAAGCCAAAGGTTCGCGTTTAGGAAGGACGGACGGAGAGTACGTTTTGCTAACGAAATTATAACATGTACAGGAAAATATTTGATAAAAGTAATAAAGAATGATGAATACTTATGACGCAGAAAAAGACGACAAAAAAGCTACAATGATACAAAAAGAAAAACCTCAGTAACCCTCTAGTCCCTCACAAGCAACTTAAAGAAAAAAAAAACAAACAAANGTTCATACGCGCAGCACTCTGGCTACCGCTCACCAAAGACACACTGCTGATTTACTGAAGCGTGCTGACATCTGCAAAACGTTCACGTTCAGAACTGGATCTGAAACTTAAAACGCTAGNAGCGCATACGCGCAGCACTCTGGCTATCGCTCACCAAAGACACACTGCTGATTTACTGAAGCGTGCTGATATCTGCAAAACGTTCACGTTCAGAACTGGATCTGAAACTTAAAACGCTAGAAGCCAATTTTATATAGTAGACCATTTGATCAAAATCTATGTATGCTTTAAGATCTTTTGCTTTCCTAAATCCAGATTTATGTCGATCTTTTAGATATCCAAAACGACAACTTTGTCTTTTTTTTGTCTACTAAAGCCAAAGGTTCGCGTTTAGGAAGGACGGACGGAAAGTACGTTTTGCTAACGAAATTATAATATGTACAGGAAAATATTTGATAAAAGTAATAAAGAATGATGAAAACTTATGACGCAGAAAAAGACGACAAAAAAGCTACAATGATACAAAAAGAAAAACCTCAGTAACCCTCTAGTCCCTCACAAGCAACTTAAAGAAAAAAAAAACAAACAAAAACGCACGTTTAAAGCGAACCACAAGACAAAAAAAATCTTTCTCCTCCCCCCTTTCGAAAGTACAAATTGTTTTTTATGGTAATTGAAAATAAGAATTTTTTAAAGAAGGCGATCAATGTATCGAAGTTAGCATGTGAATTTGGAGAGGATAATTAAATAAGGATTAAATAACTTACAGTAAAATAGAATTGTGAAATAATAAAATACCGATTTTCGAATAAAAAAAATTTGGTCCGGAGCGTAGGGGAAAATACTAATAAAGGAAGCGGAATGGTATTTGTAAAGTATTTAAAAGAAGAAAACCAAAATGCTAAGAACTTTCAAAGAAATGCAAATCAAATTTTAAACTCAACCACAACAAAATTGTCGCACTGCGCGTACATATTTACAACTAAATTAATTCATAGGCTTATTTTAAAACTATTAACATGACACGGTGTGATAAAAGAAAACAAAATTTCCCGAACTTTTTTAGTGACTGAATACAAATCGTAGTCAAGGCCGAATAATATTTAAAACTTTCCCAACATTCTGAAATTCTCAACGTACTTATAACACGTACTACAGTTAAATATTTGTTGAGAAATTTCAAGTTTAACCGCCCAATTCTGTGTTTTCTTGATAATTTTTTTGTAAAGAAATTTTATCAATACTTTTATCAAGTAAAAGCTCTCTTCGCATTCTGTGGCAATATTTATAAAACAAAAAGCTCTACGATTTCCACATGAGTGGAACTGATTTCATTGTCACATATGAAAAATACGAGTTTAAAAGTAAAAAAGCTTTTGACTGCCGTAGCCGGATAGGTTCAGATGTCGACTATAATTCCGTGTTTCTCAGGTTCAAATGCCGGCACTTGGAGTATTTAATTGTTAGAAACAAATTTATTAATATACAAAATTTATACATTTATCATGAAATTTCAATTTGTCAATAGCATTTTCAACCTTGATAATTTATCAAGAAAAGATCTTTTGATTTCTGTGTTAGAATACCAATTCTTGATAAATAATAAAAAATTTACAAACTATAAAGATTTTCAATTTATCAAGAGCACAGAATCGGGCTATAAGTATGGATTTGAATTTTTGAAAATTTTTAGGATTTTTATGTTTCGCAAGAGTATTGTAGAAATGAGAAAATTAAAAACAAAAAAATTACCTCAACAAATTTTTTGGAGATTTCCATTTATTCATAATTTTTGTCCAAAATTTTATAATATCACTTTTTTCTGTTGGACATATCACGAAAAGAACAATTTATTCAAATTAAAATAAAACTAGCAGATCCTATTTAGGGTCACTATCTCTTACATTCCCTAAATATTGACTTAAGAGCAGTTTGCAGAGAAAAAATGTGTAACAGGCTTTTTATTCTGCCTCCAAACAAAAAAAAATGAAATAATCAATTAATTCGATTAAAAGTTATAGAAAAACATTATCTATTTTCAACTGAACGTGATTTGCCTACAACAAAAAGGAGTAGATTTTACCGCTAATTATATATACATACATACTATGTTGGGGTATTCACAACAGCCTGGTCATAGGGTTATCTGATTATGTGGTTATATTATATATCAGTTTACAAAAACACAATTCACTAGAGAATAATAATTTTTAACTAGATAACCTGATAACAAGGCAGGTGTGGAAATCCCTTATGTATGTATGTATATTAAAGATGTCATAACTTCATCACATGATGCCCAGTTCCATTATGAATTAAACATTCTAATAACTGAAGATAAAGGTTATTGCAAAAAAAAATAGTGGGATTGAATTCTGTTAAAGTGAAAAAAAAAAAATTTGGAAAGTGGTGGACGTTATTTTTTTTTTTTCTAGACAAAAAATATTTAATCTGCGAAGTCATGTTAAAATGTTTTTAAAGAATAATTCGGAAGCCTCGGCGTTTTAGAAAATTTTTAAACATACATATACACTTAGTTTCGACCAGAGCTACTACGCATCTGTACCAAGTCACATAAAGAGTTCCCTTTCACTGTTGCACAGTGTTATTACAGTAAACAAATTTTTTATTATTCTATTACCTCAATGAGTTTACAACTGATAAATTAAACACACAAGGCGTACGCCGATGACAAATACAATCAAAACTGTACGATCGGAGTGTTTCGTTTCGTGGAATTCTACTTTACAGTAAATCAAACTGACCATGCAAATGATGAATTGCTGCAAATTTTAAGAAATTTTCAACCGCTCACCACATTCGCTTCAAACCACCAATCCCTGTCAAATACTCCAAACACAAAAATAATTTTTAAGGAATTATTTGGCTTTTTACGTCTTTGTGTGAGGTTACAATATTCAATTCAAAATGAAGACTAATAGCAAACCTTTTCACCCTAAGTAATTATACACTTGCATATAAGAAAATGCATTTGCTTCATAAAAACAAGGCTACAATATACATATGTATGTACATATGTACATGCATAAGAATTAGAAAAATGCAAATACATAAATACAAAATTATGCAAAAATATATAAGTGACTAAATACATACATNAGAAGACTAATAGCAAACCTTTTCACCCTAAGTAATTATACACTTTCATATAAGAAAATGCATTTGCTTCATAAAAACAAGGCTACAATATACATATGTACATATGTACATGCATAAGAATTAGAAAAATGCAAAGACATAAATACAAAATTATGCAAAAATATATAAGTGACTAAATACATACATAGATACTTAGAACAGAAAATATTTAAATAAACAAACAATATGTCACAACCAAATATATAAATATTTCATACAAACGGAAAACAATAAAAAACAAAAACAAAATGCAGAAAATTAGTAAAATGCACAGATAATATTTGAATGCTTTCATCTTCTTTAAAACACTCCCATTAAAACACAAATTAAAAAAAAATACATATGTAAAATTAAGCATAAAACCTAATAATAAACATAAAATTTCACATTCAATTTTGCATAATTATACATATTATATTGGATATATTATATAATCTATGTACACCATAATAATCATGCATACATTTATTAACCATAAACGTTATTTGAAATACATACACACATGCATAGATATCACATCACCATTGTCTTAAATATTTAAGAAAAATATTTCATTATAGAAAGTCTAGAAACAAATAAGCAAAATAAAAAAGTAATGTTTTTCATGTGAAATAAAAATAAAACATGTAATTTTTTTACGAAAATCTCTATGGAAAATGAAGTATTTCTAATAAAGTTCGACATGAGTCGTTTTGATAAATAAAATGATGAAACTGTTTCATTCAACATTCTTCATTGCAATCAAAAATAAATGCAAAGTGCGAGAAATGAGTGAGGTTAGGTTAGACCGAGATGGGTCCATTGGGACACTGAAGGTCACAATGTTAAATATACTCAGTACAGCTCGTCTCTTAAGATGGAACGAATGACGACGAGCCCTTGCCAGCCAGGCTGCTTACTAATAAAAAAGCAACAACCACATAATCGAGTCTAAATAGCAGCAGATTGCCCTTGATTGTAACTGGGATGACGCATGAAAAAGTGGAAAAAGCAACAACATTTTACTTGTCGAACTTCGCTCAGTGGGTAGACCACTGGCTTTGTAATCCGAAGTCGCTGTTGAGATGTGGGGATCTCCGATATAGCAGACATACACCCCTATTGCGAGTGTCGAGTAGTAGTACTAAGATAAACGACTCTTATTCGATTATCGCTTTTCCATGGTATTGTGAATGTCGATTTCTCGTTCAATAAGCGACTATGAATGGTTTTGTATCGCTCATTTTTCTACAAACTGTTTGTTTGTAGATAGATGAGAGACTATAAACTATTCACATTGTTGAACGAGAAAACGAGTTTGAAAATACCACGGATAAACGATAATCGGTAATCGACTAACAGTCGTTTAACTTCTACTAGTCGACACTCGCAATAGGGGTGATAACTTCTATCATTTGTTAACTTACCGTCAATCGATTTCAAAAAAATAAAAAAATATGTATCTCCTTGTTTTCGATTTTCTTCTGTACTGTGTATGGCAGCAGGAAAATTCCAAAAGGTTGACTTTTCAGTGATTTTTTTATACAACCCTATAGTACATGTCAGGAACGTTGCGAATGTTTGCATTCGAATTAGATATAGACATTCGCATTCGCATAAAATGATACGAATGTTTTGCGAATGCGAATGTGTACGTGGGCAGGGAATCCACTCTAATATTGTTGAAATGGCTCTAATTGTTCCTTTCCACCAAGTCTTAACTGCAGTTTATGCCGATTGGAACAAGGACATTACAACTCCTCCTACTAATTACAAGCAAACGCAAGGAGAAAACACTAATATAAAATAAACCTTGCCGCTCACACCATGTGGAAATTCTTGGAAGTTATCAGGGCTATGAACTGCAGTTGAGCCTCTGGTGGAAATAGGCTGTAAGTCTGTCTAACCAGGGTGCGGACAATAACCGGTTTTTAGCTTCAGGCGCTAAACGGTTAAGTAGTATATCAAGCAACATTGATGGGCCTTCAACAAGTACTGCTAAAAGTCTTATAAGCAACCTAGATTTAGATTATTCCAGCGAAAGCGAAGCCTCGCATGTAGAATCTGGAGACATTAAAAATTGTAAAATTAAAGCTCAATTGAAGGCATATCTTAAAGAAAAACGAGCTCANCAACAAGTGCTGCTAAAAGTCTTATAAGCAACCTAGATTTAGATTATTCCAGCGAAAGCGAAGCCTCGCATGTAGAATCTGGAGACATTAAAAAGTGTAAAATTAAAGCTCAATTGAAGGCATATCTTAAAGAAAAACGAGCTCATCTCGTTGAAAACAAATCCTCTCGATTGGTGGAAAACTAAACTAAAATACCACAAATTGACAGGTGTGGGCCGCATATATTTGAGCGCTCCATCCGCCAGCGTTCCAAATGAGCACTTGTTCAGTGCAGCCGGGCTTATATACAAGTCTCTAAGAAATGACCTCATGGGAGAAAAGGCAGAAAAATTACTTTTTTTGAAATATAATACGCCCCGTTTGAACTTTGACTACTAGATTAAAACACTGTATAGAATAAGCATTCTTTCAATGTTCTAATAATTTACAAAATTTTTAAGTAATAAAATCGATGAATTAAGTTGATTATGGCTTTTTGAAGTGAAACTTCTTTAGCGGCGGTTGGTTGGTTGGGGATGAATTGGCAAATTCAACGGAAATTGCACACGGAAATGGTGCAACGGAAATGGTTGAAAAAGTGCTTCTTGAGTGTATGCACATGGTATTAATTTAACAAAAACTTGCTAGAAAAGACCAACACAAGAATGAAAGTAATGGTGAGTACGTACATAGATAAACAAAATGATAAAGGCAAAGTTAAAAATAAAAACAAAAACAAACATGCGTGAAGATAAAGGCAAAAATGAAGATCAAAGTAAATTTAAACACTTTACTTATATAAGGACAAAGGTGAAGGGGAATATGTAGATGAAGAAAATGATAAACATAAAAGTAAAAACAAAGATAAATATAAAGAAAAAGATAGGAATGAGGATACCGATGAAATTAAAGATGAATATAGAGGAAGAAAGATTAAAATAAAGGTAATTATAGAAAAGTGGATATAGATAGAGATACCGACACTCAATCCGGGAACTATTTTGGGATTTTAGAGATTTTCGGGATTCTCGGGACTTATCGATATAACAGTCGATATTTTTATCGGTTATTGTTACCGATTTTGCTATTGATATCTTCCGAACTTATCGATATAATAACCGATGTTTTTATTGATTTTGTTATTGATATTTTTATCAATTCAGTTGTCGGTTTTGTAATCGATATTTTTAACGATTTTGTTATCGATATTTTTTATCGATATTGTTATTGGTTTTGTTATCGATAATGGTGTAGATTTTACTATCGATATTTTCATCGAACTTTTTATCAATATTTTTATCGATTTTGTTATCGATTTTGTATTCGACATTATTATCGACTTTATAAGCGATTTTTGTGATAGATTTTTTTGTCGATTATTCATCGATTTTGTTATCGATACTTTTATCGATTTTCTAATAATTTTTGCTGCCAATATTATTATCGATTTTGCTATCGAATTAGTCATCGGTTTTGTTATCGATATTTTTATCGGTTTTGTTAGCGATATTTTGTTGGATGTTACTTCGATAGAGTATAAAAATATAAATGAAGATAAAGGAAAACAGAATAACATCAATGAAATTAGAACGAGCAGGGGTAGAGGTAGGGATCTAGATAGAAAAAAGACAAAAAATATAACCTCAAGCAAAAGAAGATGTATGCACATACATACATATATTGGTTGTGAGACAAAATAGATATGTAACGTAAGTTTCACTTCTCCAGTGTGGCGCCGGCGCACTTCCCTTTTCAATGTTATTCCTAACATTCGCATTCGCATTCGCGAATGTGAAAAATATAACATTCGAAACATCCCTAGTACTTGTATTGCCCAGCCTTTATTTGCCTTGTTATAAAAAAAAAAATTGATGAAAGCAAACGTTCAGTAAAATTGTGCTGATAAAAGATTTTCTTGGAATACATATCGCTAGCTCCTGTCGCGTAAATGTCCCGTAACCACGTAAACCTCGTAAACTTACTTAATTTTGTATGGAAAACGGGTTTATTACAATTTTCGTTGTGTTAGTAAACGTAGGACCGTCCGCAGGTTTCGCAAAATAAAAAGGAACTTAACTCCCTTGCCAATTACAATGGCATACAAAACAACTGGAGTATTTAAATACTGAACCAAGAAGTAGTATGTAGGCCGGGTCGTATGAGTAACTTTTATTGAATAGACCTGTGTCAATTCGTATAGAAAAACTAGAAATGTACTTTTTTAAATGCTGGCTGCAGGGACATGAACCGGATGAAAAATTTGGTCGGTTCGGTTCAGCGGTTCGAACCGTTGTTGCACTTTTGGATTGGTTCGTCAAAACGGTTTTTTGGTCTTTGAACCAGGGTTTCGGTTCGGTTCAACGGTTCGAAAAACAAAAAAATAAGGCGCAATTTTATGTGTCAAGTGTCAAGTGCAACAACGCGCAAGGTTAAGGGTCAAGTGAATTAGGCTGCCTTTACATTTGATATTGTCACATGGTAAAAAACATGGTAGGTATTACTATTTTTAACAAAATGAAGAAAAAGTTTGACCAGGGCTATTGAAAATTGGTTGAAATGAACCTTTAAACCTTTACAGAAAGTGGTTCGGTTTCCGGTTCGGATCAAATGACGGATGTGGAAAATTTCCGTTCGGTTAATGGCTCAGTTAACTTATAGAAAAAAGCGGTTTTCCGGTTCAAAACCGGTTCACGTCCCTGGCTGGCTGGGACCATAGTGAAAACATTATCAGGTAAAACCGGTCCCTCACTTCACCGGTATGGTTTTCTCTGCGAAATAAATTTTTCTGGAGTAATTCATTTGGATGTGAACTCAACCGGCACAATTTTTACATATTTGGTTTTTGATTTTAAATACTTTGGATCAGACCCACGAAACCATCAACCACATGATCAAGTTTAAATAGCACTGGAACAGCGGCGCTTGATTGTAGCTGGCTTAACAAATGAAATAGTGGAAAAAAGCAACAAGAGTTCACAAAGCGAGCTTAGCACAGTGCGTAGGCAACTGAACTGAGGCAAAAGAGATTAAAAAAAATAAACTACCAATCGATTTT